AGAATTGTGTTAATAATAGTGAAGGACTAAATTTTGTTAAATTTCAGTTAATTTATTTCTCTTAATGGATAATTATTGAAATGTTAGACTGATTTAAATTTGGAATCACTCAAATGTCCCATTTTCGGAACAGCTTTAATTAATACTAAACCTTGCATACTTTCCTTATGTGCAAGGTGAATAAAAGAAGTAGAAAAATGAAAATTACTATCTTATTTGTTAATTTAATTAAGATTAAAACTCGGCAAATTAAATTCAGTTATGATGAAAACAAGCAATAATTATTATCCATCTTAAATATTAATTCATCCTATTTTTTTGTCTAAATTTTAATTTATTTGATTTTTTGGTTTTCGTTTTTATTTTATTTTGCTCTGTCAAATCATACCCGTTGATTTATGAATTACTTTTAGTGCTACCGATATTTTACCATATAATTTTCCTTCGTAAACACTGGAGAAATTTCCGGTACCAATTATACCCGTTTTACAGTCATACGTTACATTTTCATTTCTTAGAAACCTTAAATTACAGTATTTTTCCTCATATATTATTTAAATGAATGACATTAAATTTGATTTAGAACTGGGAAGATTTGTAATTTTTAGAAATTAGTTTCTGAAATTTTTTGATAATTAAATTTGAAATAATAAACTTCGAAAGTAAAACTTATTGGGATGCATTAAAAAAGCATGAAATTCGATCATTTGTTGATGTGATCGAAATTTATACATCAAAAGATGAAATATTAATCACAAATTTAAATTAATTTAATAAACCAGTGGTACATTAATTGTTGCAAAAGCATATAAAGGAATTTTTAATAAGTAAGTGCTACTGTCTAATTTTTTTTCATTCATGCTAAATTAATTTATTTAAAATGTATTATTTTCTATTTGAACATTTCTATAATTTTACATTTAATCTTTTAATTTTTAAATTTTAGAGTGAAAAAAAAGATAAAGAAACATTCAGCTATGATTAAACAATTTGTTAAAAAATTATTTGTAATGAAAATGAACCATTTTGGTTTTTCAAATGGAGAGACCAAAAATGTAGCATTTGTAGGTAACATATTGGTTTTATAATATTGAATTAATTCTATGATTGTATCAAACGTTTTCTAAAAATAATTTTACAAAATTAATAAAGCATTTCTAATGCAAAAAAAAAAACAAAAAGGGATAATTTTTTAAACGATCGAATCGACAAAAAAAAATGTCATTTTTTTATTTTCTTTTTTTTTATGAAAATGTTTGATTTCAAAAATTTGAATTTTAATAATTAGAGATTGAATTTTGAATGTCGTATAACTATACCTCAATTGAAATGTAAATTTTTTAAAAAAAGTCTTTTAAGAAAAATTAAATTTTTCTGGAGATGAATAAAAGAAAAAAATTTTTAAACCTTATCCAAAATCTATTCATATGTAGATATACTATATTGTATAGATAAAAGTTTGGAAAGAGATAAAACCAGAGAAAGAGGGAAAGAAGCAGAAAGAAAAAAAGAAGTTATTTGAACAAATTTTAAAATAATCCATAAATTAATATTTTTCTTAAATTTAAAATTTAAGAAAAAGGATGCATACGTCAGATTGGATATCAAGTATCCATCTAGCATTATCATCATTTGTAAGTGTAAAATGGTCACATCCTTTTTTGCTTCGTACACAAAGAATAAATTTCAAACAACCACTTTTTTCGTCAGCATATACCAAATATTCGCCTTCTTTTTTCAAAAAACGCTGTAAACGAAAATTGTTTATTTTTTAATTAAAAATTTTGTTTTTAATATTTTTTTAACAAAAATAAAAGTGTCACTATGAATATTATTTAGAAATTAAAGTAATCAAAAAAACAAATCAGTGAATTTAATATTTACCATTTATTTAGCAGTTATTATTTATACTTATTTATCTATGCATGTTATAAAAATGTATTCTTATCAGTAAACTTGTTATCATTTATGGAAATTGATAAATTTGAAAGTTTGTAATTTCATTTCCATTTTGGAATTCTATTCCAAAAAATAAAAATAAAAGGGGAAATTTGCCTAATAAAAATTGCCAGGTAATTTTTTAACTGCAATACTCTTAATATGGAAATAGTCTTTTATTTCACCAAGATATTGTTTATATGTTGATCATATCAAAGGAATCACTAATTATTCAAAAAAAGAAAAAGATATCATTTCATCAAGTCATTTCATATATTTGAGTTAAGAAATTTAAATATTAATATTATAAAGTGAATTGTTAAATTCAATTTTTTGGTTACTGTAGAATTTCGCATAACATATGATCAATTTAATGAAGTTTTAAAAAAGAAATGAAGTGTTGAATAGGTGCAGAGTGCATGTGTGTGTAGTGTGTGTGTGTGTGTGTGTGTGTGTGTGTGTATGTGTGTGTGTGTGTATGTGTGTGCATATATATACATGTGTGACAAATTCTAAAATTAATTTAAAACAGAAATTTGAAATAAATAATTTCAACAAATAAATACGATAACCTCCACAGAAGGCTTTGTAATGAAACCGACGAACCAGTTTTGTACTTTGACTGCGTTTGATACATCATACGCTCGAAATGATGAAGTTTTTGACATTTGCCTTAACTTATAAATCTAATATTTTATATTATATTTCAAATTATGTTTGATGAAATGAAATGAAAATTACGACGGATAAGACTGAAGTTACGCTGGAAGACATTGAAATTATAATGTATTGGAATGAAGTTACGATATGCGAGATTGAAGTTACGATACATAAGATGTATGAGAAGTTATGATGTATGAGATTGCAATCACGATATATGGGATTGAAGTTAGTAATATGCGAGATTGAAGTCACTATATATGAGGTTAAGGTTACGATATATGAGATTGTAGTTACGATACATAAGGTTACGATAGGATAGGATACTTTTTTTATATGTGTATGTATATATACATATATACATACTTTTTTTTAAGTTACGATAAGTAGAATGAAGTTATGATGCATAAGATTGAAATTATGATGCATGAAATTGAAATCACTATACATGAGGTTGAAGTTATGATATATAAAATTGAAATTACGATATATGAGATTAAAACTATTTGTACCATATGGAGCTGTATTTTAAAATATTCTACATTGTATTACATCTTGATATCTTTTAAATTATATTGGGATATTGTTATTTATATGTCACCACCAATCGTTACTTCGAATATTTGCCCTCTATTATCATCAATATTTATGCAAATTTTAAATGTCCTCATCAAGTAACTACTAACCGTTTTGCTGATTAACAAAGTAGATTAATAATTCATTTGAATGGAAAAGGAAAGCCTTTTATAATACAACAAAATTTGTTAATGAATATGCAAAATATTCCATGACAAGATGATATTTTGTCACAAAAAGAACTCACAATATTACAATCTTTCAAGTTAAATTAAGCTTAAGTATTTAAATTTGATAAATATCGCTTTTTAATTTTATATTATAAAAATTTTAAATACTTCTTTAGGACAAATTAAATGAAAGGAAAAAGTTAGAAAAATAAAAGAGTGAAGAAAGAATTTGAAATGATTTAAGATGAAAGGTAAAAAGAAACAGAAAAAAAAACTAAAAGAGAAAGAATAACATTATGGATGATCGGAATATAATGGAAATTAAATATAACCTCATACCATTACTACTGCATACAAATTAGACAATCAATAGCTTACAATAACTATTGCCAAATACCGTTCAGAATATATCGGAAATTAAATATAATCTCTCATTTCAAATAATTCCGAACTTTCCTCTCTCTTCATTTCGTTAATTTTTCTCTTTTTTTTTTGCTTTCATACAATCTCCTCAACTTCTACTTTGTTTTTCATTGTAAAGTATTTCAAAAAATCTCGGCCTTCCCATCCTTCCATTTTTTAAATGTTTTCCATTTCGAATTTTTCGCTCTGCATTAATTTTTTTATTTTATATCAAATTTATGAAAGAAATTTCATTTTCTTGCTAAACATATATTATGAAAAAGGAGCATTGAACAGGAGGAAAAATCACTTATTTTAGTTAAAAAATACTTTGTTACAAAAATTTAAGACAATTTTGACGAGCCAAATAGTGGCATAAATTGTCATTAATTCATTGATAAAGTAAACAATGATTTGAAAATAAAGGAATTGTAGATGAAATTGCTTGAATTTTGGTAAAATATAGAAATGTAAGAATCAGAATTATGAAATTTTATTTCATTACCAGTTTTATAAGAGTACATGTTATGTACAGAAGAAGCAAAGAGAACAACAATACAAAATCGTAATTGCAATAGTGACAACTGTATAAGAGATACAATACAATATCCGCTTATCTATTGCCAGCAAATAGAAGTGGATTAAGCTTAACATTCATTTAACGAACAAAAACTGAAATAAGAATATCAGCAAATGAATAATCTGAACAGAAAAAATCTCTCGATGACCGTAGATCAAATTCATTCGTTTGTAGCAATACTGAATTTTTCCAGGTTATGCAACATTCCATTCAAAAAAAAAAAAAAGTGTTTTCCGAGAAATAATTTAGAAATTAACAAGTCAAGCGGCAAAAAGATTGGGTCAAGAAAAAAAAAAAGCTAACCACAAAATGTTTCCTTTTCTTCAACATTATATACTGCATAACTGAATTGAAATGTCAAATTAAGTTTGAGGAATAAACGAATGTTTTCTTTCTTTTTAATATATTATTATTTCTGCATTCTAAAAATAAAAAACAAACAAACAGTACGACATATAAATACAATGCAAACATATATTTCAGCACAAGAAACATTTCTTAAGTTACTTTTACAAACTAAGGGTCAAACTGAAAATTTATTTGCTTAGCAAATGCAGCACATTGAAGCAGAGCAAAATATAAAGGACTGAAAATTAAACGTAACTTATCACACAGTTCTATCCACATAGCGAAAATTCATCCTTATCTTAGTATTTGGCACATTAGTGAGACGGAAAATTGCACTAAGGAGAAGGACTGGAGGAATGCCGCAATGCACAAAATTATTCAGTTTAAACCCATTTGATATCTAACTTGTCTAAAGCAAACGTCTTCACCAAACCATATATTTAAATGTTCTTTCGAGACAAAGAAAGGAAGTATGGCGTCTTCGATAATCATTTGAACGCAACAAATGCGACACAAAAACCTTAAAATATGTAATTCAGCATGAGATGACTTCTCACTAATCTACATATTTGAAAGTATTTTTAAAATCAAAAAGAAAAAAAAGGAAAAAAGAATAGTGATTCAACAATATAACAGCACTGTAAAGTAAAGCTTAGTCGAAGTGTCCTCAGTAATAATTAGTTGGAGACAATCGTTACAACAAAATCAAGAAATTTTTCTTTTACTTGCAATTTCGACAATAAAAAGCATTAATTGCTAAGTTGTCCATAATAAACATTAAAAAATTTTAAACAAATTTAAAGTCTGGAATTTTTAAAACTACGAGAATAGCAAAAATGGACGATATGAAACGAAGACATTATATATAACTATTTTGCAGGAGACGAACTATTCAACTTACATATCATTCATATTAGCGCATATAAGAATCATCACGATAAAGCTGTGCAATAACTTGTTCGTATTTCTCTTTTATTAGGCGACGTTTCAGTTTCATTGCTTCGGTCAAAAGACCAGACTCAGCTGTCCATATTTCATCACATAAATAGATCTTTCCTGGCAATTCATTTTTCAACAAATGATCTGAAAGCAAACTTCCATAGCAATATGAAATATCTATAGCAACATAAGCTTTCATGAAAGCTTTATTTCCTAAAAATACTACTCATATTTTGGCATAAAATGCATTTTTTCTGAGGCTGTTACATGAGCTTTGGTTAATTTTATATACTTGTCGATTACTACTTTTCCATTTAAATTTCCATAACCAATACAAACAAAAATATTGCAAATATTATTGCAGAAAATCAAAATATCAAATCTATCAAACCAAAGAATTTCCAAATGAATCTGAGAATTGTTTGTATGAGATAAACTGAGAACAGCAGCATTGTTTGCTACCACACTATTCCTATCACATTTTTAATTTATCCCAATTTAATTAGTAAAAGAACGAATAAAAATCGTTCCTCACAACTCAACATTGGGAAATATCTGTGCAAGAAATGCTAATGAATCAAGATTTTCCAAAGATTTGTAAAAAAAATCCACTTTTTTTAATAAAATATAAAAAGAACACCACAAACACATAAAGGTCAACACGTCAGTTACAAATCAATATCATAGAAACTAACTTTTCATAGCATGTTCCTCCATACGTTTCTGACATTCCTTCACAATTTTCACATTATGACACAAATCAGTCCAACTTGATGTTTTGATATCAAACTAAAACATATAAATATTTGGAAGTTGCTATTCAACTTATTTTATTCTTCATAAGATGATTCTAGCCATGAGTTTCATGCATCAGCAATCAGTGGGTTATAATGCCTTATGGATTTGAATCAATCAATAACAGTGTCAATTTATATTCACTCAAATTACTTTATCTTATAAATGTCCACCCATTCAACTGTATGTATATCTTTTAACTCGTAATCATTATATCTATAACTAAGGTAAACCTGTTCAGCCATTTCTGTCAGATGTTTCTTGTTAGGCACAATAAGTGCAATCAGATATGACGATAATGAATCGCCATAACAGCAGATATTGTCAACCAAAGGGCAATTCAACATCGCAGTCTCGATCTTTGCCAGTGATACATATTCGCCGTGTTGAAGTTTTACTAAGTCTTTCTTTCGATCTAAAACAGGATAAAACTCATTTAAGCTGCTTTTTACTTGTTTTAGAATTGATTTTTGGTCTCAAATAAAAGCTTGCAGGAAATATTATGAACGGAAACAGAAAAATACGAACCAATTATACGAAGTGACCCATCTTCACGAAATTCACCAATATCGCCAGTAGCTAAATATCGTACACCATCAATAACCACGAAATCTTCAGCTGTTTTATCAGTGTCTTTCCAATAGCCTGGTGATATGTTCGGACCGCTGACAAGAACTTCACCTTGAGGTGGATCATTGAACGGAGTGTAGCCTCCTGAAAAAAAAGTTAATTTGGTAAAAATTATTCTAGAAGAATAAAAATACAATTCTTCCATGAACAACGAATGACACATAGGGTAAAAGTATAAATGAATATATTAACATTTTCGAATCAAAAAAATCTACTTATGGAATGTCTAATTATAAGTTAAGAGTAAGGCATTCATGCAAGAGGACAGAGAAAAATTACCCTCACTCCATTCGCGAAGAAGTATTCGTGAACAACGCACGGGTGGACCGACAGTTCCTGTGCTTAGGTCATTGACTAAAAAATAGCATCTGAATTGCATACTTTTTTCGAGTTAATAAGTTTTGATTTAATGGAGCTCTACTGATTAAATTTAGCAAATTACAAGTTGTGATACTTTTCTTCAGTAACCGGAAAATATTTCAGTCCAATTACTAGAGGATTGGAAACGGGAGATAAGTAAAATAATGTCAGTAATCACTAGTAAGAATTACATTACAATATGCAAAGGCTATTTTTATTTCAACAATTAAAAAAAAGTAAAAGAAACGATTTCCAACCATCAGCGATAGCAACTGCTGCACATGTCTCAGTTAGTCCATATCCTTGAATAACTGGACAGCACATACAAATATTCATAAAACGTTGAGTTTCTGGATTCAGTGCTGCTCCACCACACAATATACCTCGCAGTTTGCCGCCCAAAAGACGCCGAATCTTTTTGAAAACAATTCTACAAATAGCGTTCAATTAATTTGAAATCAGTAAGCATACAGAACCATAAATTTATCTTATGAGTGAGGGTACACAAAAATAAACGCCGATATGCTCTTTAAATGCATTAATTATCTTTCCCCAAAAGCTTGAGAAATTTTAGAAGAAAATTCAAATGGTCTCAAGCTACAATACATTTCTTAAAAAACATTAAAAAAGAAAACCTATCCAAAAATGGACTGCAGTATCCTTCCTGATAACGTGCCCGCTTTCGTTCATAATTTAATCGGAAAAGTTCCTGCATCAAACGTGGAGCTGATGCAACTTCGTCACTTATAGCTTTGAATATTCTATCCATTATTGCCTTAAAAGCAACAATGATTATGTTAATCAACTTTATACTACCCCAGTTTCGAGCATACTTCACTCTTGGCAGATTTCCAAGTGATGCCAAACTCAGACAGTTAATATCTTTGCGTGTTTAAATGCTGCTCAAATGATCAAAAGTTTTAGGTTACGAGTATTCAATAACCGCATCTTGACATACCAGATAATCGCTTCCTTTACAACAAGGATTAGGCCTAAATTTCGTATATCAAAACAACTAACCGGCACTGTGGCCAAAATTGTTGGTCTTAGAGCCCAGCAATCTCCATGTGTACCTGGCTTAATTTTAGCGCCACGGTCATGAAGTGTCAATGGACTTGAGTATCCAACACGACAATTCCGCGTCTGAAATAAAAAATCTGCAAAACTCAAGTTTTTGTTTTTCACGAAACTCAATTTGACCTACACCTAAGCTCTAAATTATAAGGAGAGGGAAAAAGCAGACATTATTTTCAGTAACAACTTGTTACTAGTCCTTTCTTTTCCAACTTGGAATGTTAATGAGAATACAAATACGTACCAGACAGGTCAGTTCTGCCGCAAACTCCAGGATATGCGCCAGTGGAAGATACCCAATATAGACGTCGGTGTGGTTGATGATAGGTAGTGCAGCGCCTAATCCGGCCACCGATGATACGATATTATAATGCGTCAAAATCACTCCCTTCGCAGCTCCAGTGGTACCACTTGTGTACATTATCATTGCTATGTCATTTCGTCCAGCTGGTGAAACTTCTGCAAAAAAATGTTTCATAAGATCAACTTTTTGGGTGATCCGTAAAGTCATCTGAATCACACGAAAAAAGTTTTATATTTCAATGTAACAGTCTGAACGTTGCAAATGGATATATATATATATATATATACATATATATATATATATATACATGNATAGTTTGGTGG